GTCCAACTAGAAAAGATGATGGCAGAAAGACTTCCATCTTCTGGGTTGAAGGCAACACCACATATTGAATCGCGCTACCAACTATGGAAAAGGCAATATGTTTCCATTTCAGATATGTTAAATCAGGGCAGTGGCTTTGGGTGGAATGATGAAGATAAATGCATAACTGCAACCAATGATGTGTTTGAGGAGTGGGTGAAGGTAAGGGTTTTTTCTATCTTTAATGCATCAGTAAATTTATTAGTATATTAATTCTAAATTTCATCTATCTTTTTTTTCTTTGATAGAGCCATCCAACTGCACAAGGATTAAGGAACAAACCTTTCCCCCACTACGACACATTAGCCATTGTTTTCGATAGGGACCTGACAAGTGGAGCTGGAGCGGAGACCCCAGTTGATGCGGTTGAAGATCTTAATTCAAAAATTCCCGAAAACAACAATGAATCAATGGATGTTGATGCTGATGCTGATGAAGGAAGTAACATTCCAGACAAGGATGATGTGGTTGCCTCTGGAGCTAGTGGAACTCGTAGGACTTCCAGTAGTAACAAAAGAAAAAGAAATGACGATGGCATCTCTGAAATGGTGGACCAAATGAAGAAGTGGAGGGATACGTATGAGGTTGCTTCCTGAGGGATGGAAAAGTTTGCTGCATCTTTTGACAAATCGGAGGATATAAGTCAGCGTTTGTTTGCGGAAATTGAAGAATTGAGACTTTTAACCCCAATACAGACGATATATGTTTTGGAGGTAATGTGCAAGGATCAGCACAAGATAGATGTTTCCATGGGGTTGCTGGAGTCACTTAAGAGGACATATGTCTTGCGCATACTGGACGAAAGTAATGTCTATCACCCACCTTTCAGCACCTAAAACAATAAAGTTAACGGGGTTGTAAATATTTTTGACTCGTAATTAAGTTTATGTTGTGCTGTCTAAGGACATATAAATCCTTAGATGTTTTTGATGTGTTTGTTACTGAAATGGTGCTGGGTTTAGGTTCCCACATGGGCAATAGATGTATATTTTGTTGATTGCCCGCCGTTAGAAGGAAAGCAACGTCAAGGAGGGCATTTGTAATCAAACATAAAGGGAAGAAGTCCAAAGTCAATTGCCGAAGCATTTGAAATGTCTATTGAAGACAACCGAAGTGTGAAGACATCTTTCGTCACGGTAAGTAATTCTTGAAGGCATGATTTTTGTTGTTGCAACTACTTATTGGATTATCTTTATTGGCAGGCAAAAGGAAAGAATGAAGGCATGATTGATCACAGTTTGATCCACTCACTGTTGAGCTCCAGCTAAATTGAAATCGAAACTTCAAGCACTCTGCTCTTCCGTTGATGTGTTCTTGTAAAAATATGTACTAAGTATAATGTTTATGAGTTATTGCTTCTATGTTGCTTTCGGTTGGGTGTGTCAGATATGTTGGTTGTGTTGGATGCTAAAATCTTGTTCTAAATATGAAAGTTTGTTGGTTTATGTTGTTACATTGCTTCAGTTGAATGCATGACAAAGTGTGATGGCGGTAATGAAATGGAACAGATAATCAAGTGATAAACTGATTACTTAAAGAAAATTAAAATAGAGGATGAACAAATGGAAATGGCAGTAATGAAATGGAACAGATAAGCAAGTCATAAACTGATTACTTAAAGGAAACAGATGATAAACAAAAGGAAATGGCGAAGATGAAATGGAATGAAAAACAAATGATAAACTGAGTAATTATGTTAGTCAAATAAAACATAAAAGAAACCCATCCTAGCTGACCTTAAGAGGGCCAGCTTTCCTCCCCAATAACCATATTATGAACTTTTCCCATCTTCATCCCAATCTTTAAGGAAGAGATCGACGATCCCAAGTTCTTTTACCCCACTCAGAAAGTCTTTTCCGCCGGTTGACTCGTAGGAGGTGAGAAGGGCCTTTACTTCGTCCCACACAGTGTACTACTATCGGCCCTACTAGGCAACATCTACCTACACAAGCTCGATCAGGAGATAGGGAGGATCCGACAGAAGTACGAAATTCTGATTGTTCAGAGAATAAGATCGGTTCTATTAAAGACATGTCGTATTGATGACCAAGAAAAGTCTTACGAAGAAGCAAGCTTCAACGCTCCTCAAGACAGCGGAGCCATCATTGTGGGGAGGGTAAAGAGCATCCAACGCAAAACGGCCTTTCATTCCCTTGTTTCGTCGTGGCGCCTTCGATTCAAAGTCAAAGAGTGGTGGGGACTTACCTAACCCTATACAGAAGACAAGTAAACTTCCCTGATACGAAAGCCTTGGATAGTAAGGACAGGGTATAAACCATAAACTGCCATAAAGGAATCCATATCTTTCCTATCGGCTATCTTGTGGTCTAGCTATGGTCTAAGATGGGATCTAGAAGGTATATATTCCTGTTTCTAATTATACTATTTCTCACTCAAGAGAATTATTCCTTCATCCCATATCTTGCGGCCATCTGTCCATCCCAAAACTGATTTTTTAACACCTCACCCTAACACCTCATCCATTGTAACACCTTACCCTAACACCTCATCCATGGGAATCTTCCTTGTTATAGCCCAAATTCCCTTGCTTGCCTCCCTTGGCTTTCTTATTGAATACCACATATCGGCGACAAGGCTAAGAAACGATGTGTACAAACCAAAAAGCAAAAGGAAAGAATCCAATCCTACTGCTCAAAAGCAGCCTAACATGCACCAAGAAAAACCACCCAGGCTGTTGCTGCTGCTGCAAAAAAAAAAGACAGCCAAGCCTTATACAAGAACATAAAAAAAAACCAATAAGCAAAATAGTTGCTGCCCAAAAACAGTAGTTGCCGGCTAAAAAAAAAAACTGCAGCACCTCACTAGTAGAACACCAAGGACAACATTTAACAAATCCCCACATCAAAAGAAGACAAGCATCAAAACACCTTTGCTTGAGTCACCAACTCCAAGGGAGAACTAAAAAAAAGACTAGCAGAGGAGAAAAAAACAAAACACAAGCTTGCCAAGACAGATCAGACCTGCAAGAAAAGCCAATGAAGAACAAGAGGCAACCTACCGTCAAAACCATATCTGCCAGGAAATCTTAATCTTGTCATTAGCTATATCCCCTTTTAACCTCAATAATCTAGTGCTCTCAAAACCACCACTCTTCAAAATATTTGAAGAAGCACAACCATCAGGGTTGTTTATGGCTGTTAACGATCATCGATCTGGCCGTTTCCTGCCAAATCTCTAGCTGGAAATGGCCATACGGCGCATGGAGGCCATTTCGTGCGCCATTACGTTGCCGACTTCTGGCGGCCGGTGGTGGTTGCCGGCAGTGGCTGGGTTGGTAGGGGTGCATTATTGATTTTTCAAACTTTCATTATGGGGTTGTTTTTGCTAAGCTTTTAAATATAGGGGGTTATAAACAATCTAAATAATAATATAATAATAATATTTAATTAAAGGACAATTCAATAATTTAAACAACATACCCACCGATTTATTCATTCCAACCAAATATATTAATAAAACATACCCACCAATTTATTCCAACTAACCAAATACATTTTTCTAAATATTTCCAATAATCTTCAAGGTAATATAATATTTCCAGTAATCTTCAAGGTAATCTAATATTTCCTGAACTAAACGTCCCCTATGGGGTATTCTTACCCCCACTGCTGCAATCGAACCTTTATAAACTAAAAGCATCTGTATTAACTTAATATAACATATATTCATTATACTTTTTTCTGATCTATTAATCATTCAATTTCTCAGTAACTAATCTGGGAATCATACAAATAATTATCTTAACTGAGCATCAAATCCAGCAGATCTACTGCTATAGTGGAATCATGGGCAGGCTGAGAAGTTCAAAATGCTTTGTATAACTTTCTTTTATCTGGGAAGAAAATAATTCTAATCTATGTATTTTGCATGCGTATGCACCTTTTTATTAATTAAATCAGTTTATCGCAGTATAAATCATAAACACAAAACCAACATAAACGCACTGCAGGCGTTCACGTGAAGTTCTGCAAAAGGAAACTACCCTTTTAGAAACATTAAATTGATGAATTTTGAAGTTTGAAGTAATATATGCAAGTATTAGAAAGGGTTTGAGTCTACCGTTTAACTATATATATAGTAATAGTTAATACAAACTTTATGGTGTATTCACTTAATATAGTAAGAGTACTATTCAGTTACAAATAGATAGAGCTTAAGACAAGGACTAGAAGCCAAGGAAGTGCAGCTTTTGATGACGATGAAGAATTGATCATTGTGAAGAGATCTCAAAGCTGGCACCAAGCCTAGAAATATGTAGTTAGACCAGGACAGAACCTGTTTCCCAGCTAGGCTCTCCTAATAACGTTAACCTGTTTCTCCAAGATTTAGACTTACAATGACTTGCAAACTGTTTCTGATTCGTCGGATCTTTCAGTGTCAATTCTCCATTATTGAAATAGAGGGTTAAAAAACACCGAATGTGTTTCAAAGTTATATTGAATCAATAGTACGTATAAGATATTAATGCGATTGCACACACTTGGAGTACTAAAGCCTTTCCAATTTGTTATATAATTTGATCCTCTTCTTCACTTGATTCAACATAATTGTTATATTAACAACGTCAGTAAAGAGGTTGGGTGGGTGGAAAGGGCTTATCGAATTGATTCTGATCCTCTAGTCACGGTCCAAGCACTTCCCCACATCACATGTTATAAGTATATGCATGACGCTTGCCTAACAATAATAATGCTGATTCATCAATTGAGCAAATATTCCTAGTTAAACAACACTCCTACTTTCTATCTCCACTTCCAGATATGGAAACTCCCACTTCCGTCTCCTTCTTTTCTTATTCTCTTTCCCTTGAAAAGCCTATGCAAGGCCACACCCCTTAGCTCTCATCATTTTGTTTAGTAATTCTATTGCGTCTCCTTCTTTTCTTATTCTCTTTCCCTTGAAAAGCCTATGCAAGGCCACACCCCTTAGCTCTCATCATTTTGTTTAGTAATTCTATTGTAAAATAACTAGCAGTACTAGTTGTGGTTTCATACAAGAAGAAGGAAACAAATGGGTCGCGGAAAGATCGAGATTAAGAGGATTGAGAACCCTACCAACAGACAGGTTACTTACTCTAAACGAAGAAATGGTATTTTTAAGAAAGCACAAGAAATTACAGTTCTCTGTGATGCTAAGGTTTCTCTAATCATGTTTTCTAACACTGGCAAATTTCATGAGTTCGTTAGCTCTACCACAACGTATGCTAACAGATCCATCACTCTTTCTATTTTTATGTGCATGTCAAACCCTAACGAAAATCTTTAATTTTCTTGTTGATTAGGACCAAAAATATCTTTGATCAATACCAGAACACTCTTGGAATTGACCTATGGAGAACGCACTACGAGGTCAGTACTACCATCTTACAAGATATTGTATTTGATTTATACATATATATGTGAGGTTTAGAAGATTTTTTCGTTGCAATTAAGTTTTATGTGTTATGTTTTTTTGCAGAGAATGCAAGAGACCTACAAGAAACTGAAAGATGTCAATGATAAGCTAAGGAAGCAGATCAGGTAACTCCTAAATTCTTTCTTAGTTATGTCTTTTGTCATGGTATTTAATTATGATTTTTGAGTTAATAAATTAGAGTAAAGTTGATAAGGGTATATGTACGTATTTAAAGGCAAAGGATTGGTGAAGATTTAGACGATCTAAGCATAGATGAACTGAGCAGTCTTGAGCAAAAGGTGACCGCTGCAGCTGATGCCGTCCGTGAAAGAAAGGTTGGATCTTTTTAGACCTGTTAATGGACCTCTTTTTTTTGTAAGCTTCTGTCTCGGTTTGGGTGTTAGATGTTTAATCTGTGCTAACATTTGTAATTTCATTGTTGTTTACAGTACCATGTGATCAAAACTCAGACTGACACATACAAGAAGAAGGTCAAAACTAAACAGATTATTTTTGTTTCTTTAAGTTACCCACATTCAGTTATTTCACTATTTTTTTTTTCTTGTGATCAAATTGGCAGCTAAAAAGCTTGGAGGAAAGACATGGAAACATCCTGCTCAACTTTGTAAGACTCTTCACTTTATTGTTTTATTTCCTTTCTTGATAGTGTATATAGGGCAACTTGATTATCATTTTTGTTAAATTTTAATTACATTTTGGAAATAAAGGAAGCAAAATATGAGGATCCAAATCTAAATTACGGATTAGTTGATGATGGAGATTATCAATCAGCAACGGCACTATCAAATGGAGCACCTAACCTGTACGCTTTTCGCCTGTACAATGCTAACTTCCCTCAAGGAGGAGGAGGAGGAGGAGGATTTGGCCCCAACAATCTCAGCCTTGGTTGATTATATATCATAAGAAGTTGTATTTATAATCTCTTCTTCAGGCGATTATAATAATCTCCAGGTTTGTTTTAATTAGATTGGGTTATGAAATAATCAAGAACTGGATTTCTAATCTCAGCCCTTTTTATGTAATATCCTAGTGTGCTAATAATTATGACAGAACACTCAAGCTTTTATTGCCTTATTTATTTTATCACGTTTACCATTTATGAAGAAATATTCTGTTTGATTGATGAACTCAATTAACTTGTATAAAAAGAATGAAATGATTTACGTTCATATAATATCACAGTACAGTACACTATATGATTCAAGGCTTATTACCTAAGGAAATATCAAAATCATCATGTTAATTATACTCATTAGAATTCATGTTTAAAGGGAGGTAAGTGGTGAATTTTCCAACTTTTTGGAAGGAGGTTATTGATGGTTCTCATACTTTGGAGGTTTTGTTCATAGTATTTTCTTAAACTTGAGAGGAGGCAAGATATAATTACTATAAACTCTACTCGCACATAGTGTTTTATAACTTTTTGTTGCATAATTCTGAAACTAACTATTTAAGGGATATGAGGCGAAGTTCTTTGCTTTACGTAGTGCTCAAATTTAGTATAAAATATATAGTATTAGCTTTGTCAAATCACATGGATTTATTGAATAGAAGACATGCTAAATGGGAATTGACTAGAAAAAGACATCCATCCTTTGTCTAAATATTCTAAGAATTTTTACCTTATTCAATCTCCTACTCTAATAAAACTCACATTTACTAAGCTTAAACAATCTCCTTAATGACATTTGAAAACCATTTAGGATGTTAATAGTCTACAAATCTTGGTTCCTTCGCAGATAACTCTTCAAGTCCATGAATTGTGTATATTGGTTTATTCTAACTACCATGGAATGACTTGATAGTAAAAGAATAAAAAAAATTTCATAAGTTGAGTCTCCTAGACCCTAATAAAGATGGTCATTGGAGCTCTGATCTGATCAACAGTTTTAAGATTCCAGAGATTAATTAAAATGCGTACAAATTGGTTAGAAAACCCAATAATTAGAAAAAAAAAAAAAAATCTTGCTTTGTTCTACTACACTACTCCTTGAGTTGACACATTGTGGCAAAAAATTTAGCTTGGTTGGAGGTTGTAGCCATATAACTTTTGATGACAGCCCAATTTTGGTTTAAAAAACTTTCCTCACATTTCCTGTCGTTGCTTTTTGCTGGTAGTAGGTTCTCGGACAAGCAGAAGAAGCCTGCAAAACAGCATCTGCATATCAAATAACCCAACTCACGCAAAAATCCGCATAACAATTCATCTGTCCAAAATGTATTATATTTAAAAATTAGGATGTAAATTGGATTTTATTTCAGTACAAAATATATAAATCTGAAGGAATATTATCATATCCTGCGAGGTCTAATCAGTGTTGAATCAATTGTAAAAAAGTNAGCTTGGTTGGAGGTTGAAGGCATATAACTTTTGATGACGGCCTGTAGTATATCCAATTTTAGTTTAAAAAACTTTCCTCACGTTCCCTGTCGTTGCTTTTTGCTGGTAGTAGGTTCTCGGACAAGCAGAAGAAGCCTGCAAAACAGCATCTGCATATCAAATAACCCAACTCACGCAAAAATCCGCATAACAATTCATCTGTCCAAAATGTATTATATTTAAAAATTAGGATGTAAATTGGATTTTATTTCAGTACAAAATATATAAATCTGAAGGAATATTATCATATCCTGCGAGGTCTAATCAGTGTTGAATCAATTGTAAAAAAGTCGGATCCTGAGCAGATTGCCATATTTTCAAGGCATTCATCAAATTTCATAAAAATGGTTTTTTACTCCATCTCAAATGACAAAGAAGAAGGAATCCTTTCCAATTTTGTTATGATGATACTCATACACATCTCCGTCGTCTAAATGCTTTAATAATAACTTTATTAATATCACCAAAATGGTCATAAGAAAACCTACATACCAACTACTTCTTTTATGGTGGGATGACAAACCTTTAGTGATTGGGATTATTTGTTTTTTCTCAAGGAAAACTGATTATTGGGTTTACCTAATATATATATATACACACTTTATTTTGTACAATAATTTACATTTTAACAATAATTTATTAATATCATCGATGTGACATAAGAAAATCTATATACCAATCTCTCCCTTTTTAATGTGATAACAAATCCTCTAGTAATCAGAATTAGTTATTTTCTTTCACGGGAGAGACAATTATCGGATTTAAAAAAAAAATATATATATATATAATTAATTAATTAATTTAATTTTATCAATCAAATTTATTAATATTGTAATAAATAACAAGAAAACCAAAAATAATTGCTGAATTAGACACTGATAATGAAGAGATAAATCAACTCAATATTTGAACAAAATTGTACTACCAGGCAACTCAATTTATCAAAAATAAAAGTTTCCAAATTAAAATAATTAACGGTATTATACGTATATCAAGTAAGTAGTATATTTTGAATACGATATAGCAAATACGCTTCCAAATCCGTGAATTGAAATGAGGATTCCCTCTGAGGAGCATCTTTTGCTTTAGCTACCGATTCTGTAAAATATCATCTCCTTTTTCAAACTAAAATAATATTTCCTGCTTCACATTCACGAGGTCCACTCAAAATTATTACCCGCGTTTTTAAAAACTCTGCAAATCACTGCCTCAGTGCCTCTCTTCTAGTTGTACTACCTCTCATAATTCACTTTCTTCCACCTCTCTTCTTCAATTCTAAGTTTATTTTCATGGAAACCCCCAATTCCACTCCTATAGATTGAATCATTTTTGGTCCACTTCAGTTTTTGCTGTAAAATCTATCTGACACATGGCAGCTTATGCCGCTTCAGTGTCTTCATGGATCCCTGAAGATGACATCCTGTTAAAGAACGCTGTAGAGGTACTTCATTTTTTGTTTAACTTCTAAATTACTCTGCATATTTTAGTAGAAAAAAACCCTAGGTTTATTCTTGACAAACACATTGATTAGCTATTAGGAAATCGAATCTACGGTTGATATAATTTTGAATTTTCCGTGTAATTTTGTGTTGATATTACCGTTGCAACTGAAATTTTGGTTATGTTACTGTCACCTGTTTTCACCTTAGTCATAATGTTTATACTGTGTGAATACCATTAAGTTTCTTTAAAGCGATTATGGTTCGAAGACTGCGTTTGCCGGCATGGATTTCTGTAACTGAAATGTGTTGAGATGAAATTGGAAGTGGTGTTCTTCAGAAACACTTAGGTGGCGTCCCAATTTCATTCTGTTTCAGAATTTTGCTCCTATTTAAGTTACCAGAACAGGTTTCTTGTAATAAACAGCGTCACACTATTTTATGTTTAATGTTAGTACTGTGGTGCCTATATTGCTAAATAGCTGTTCCATTAATGTACACCTCCCAGTGATGTAGCAAAACCCTCAATTCCTAAGCTTCCACTAAACACTTGGTTACCGGAGCTAGTATAGTATAGTGTAACCAATAATCAAACACCTTGTGGATGGCTTTGCACCTCGGGACATTTTCTGTTGCTATTTCTGCATAAAGCATATACTTAATGTTAGGATAAATCTTTAATTCACTGATACATTTCTTTTGCTACTTCAGGCAGGTGCTTCTCTGGAAGCACTTGCTAAAGGCGCAGTNGATAAATCAACTCAATATTTGAACAAAATTGTACTACCAGGCAACTCAATTTATCAAAAATAAAAGTTTCCAAATTAAAATAATTAACGGTATTATACGTATATCAAGTAAGTAGTATATTTTGAATACGATATAGCAAATACGCTTCCAAATCCGTGAATTGAAATGAGGATTCCCTCTGAGGAGCATCTTTTGCTTTAGCTACCGATTCTGTAAAATATCATCTCCTTTTTCAAACTAAAATAATATTAATTTCCTGCTTCACATTCACGAGGTCCACTCAAAATTATTACCCGCGTTTTTAAGAACTCTGCAAATCACTGCCTCAGTGCCTCTCTTCTAGTTGTACTACCTCTCATAATTCACTTTCTTCCACCTCTCTTCTTCAATTCTAAGTTTATTTTCATGGAAACCCCCAATTCCACTCCTATAGATTGAATCATTTTTGGTCCACTTCAGTTTTTGCTGTAAAATCTATCTGACACATGGCAGCTTATGCCGCTTCAGTGTCTTCATGGATCCCTGAAGATGACATCCTGTTAAAGAACGCTGTAGAGGTACTTCATTTTTTGTTTAACTTCTAAATTACTCTGCATATTTTAGTAGAAAAAACCCTAGGTTTATTCTTGACAAACACATTGATTAGCTATTAGGAAATCGAATCTACGGTTGATATAATTTTGAATTTTCCGTGTAATTTTGTGTTGATATTACCGTTGCAACTGAAATTTTGGTTATGTTACTGTCACCTGTTTTCACCTTAGTCATAATGTTTATACTGTGTGAATACAATTAAGTTTCTTTAAAGCGATTATGGTTCGAAGACTGCGTTTGCCGGCATGGATTTCTGTAACTGAAATGTGTTAGGATGAAATTGGAAGTGGTGTTCTTCAGAAACACTTAGGTGGCGTCCCAATTTCATTCTGTTTCAGAATTTTGCTCCTATTTAAGTTACCAGAACAGGTTTCTTGTAATAAACAGCGTCACACTATTTTATGTTTAATGTTAGTACTGTGGTGCCTATATTGCTAAATAGCTGTTCCATTAATGTACACCTCCCAGTGATGTAGCAAAACCCTCAATTCCTAAGCTTCCACTAAACACTTGGTTACCGGAGCTAGTATAGTATAGTGTAACCAATAATCAAACACCTTGTGGATGGCTTTGCACCTCGGGACATTTTCTGTTGCTATTTCTGCATAAAGCATATACTTAATGTTAGGATAAATCTTTAATTCACTGATACATTTCTTTTGCTACTTCAGGCAGGTGCTTCTCTGGAAGCACTTGCTAAAGGCGCAGTGAGATTTTCCCGCAAGTTTTCCATAGCAGAATTGCAACATCGGTGGCATTCTCTCCTCTATGACCCTGTTATTGCAGCAGAAGCTGCTGCTCATATGGCAGAGTTTGAATTTTCTGCTGCTAATAATCAAGCAAAGTCACTTAGGTCGGGTGCTGCTGGGGACCATTCAGGAGCTCCTCCAAAAAGGAAAGCCGAGAGTGTTCGAAGACTGTATTATGCCTTGCGGAAAAGAACTTGTATCCAGTATTTGAACTCTCCTAAACTTGGTTTTTTGGCTTCACCAAAGATGAGTGATGGTATTGGAGATGGTACTGCTTATCAAGAGCATGCAAGCTTTCAATATGATACTCCAGTTGAAAGTTCCATGCTTGGAGATTCTGTCCAGAACTGTTTTGAGTTACAGGAAATGGATATAGATTACTTGCATCACAGACCACAAGATAATAATTTCATTAAAGATTCAGTAGGGCATCCCATTTATGAGCAGGAAAATGTGCATGAAGATTCAGCACATAATCTGGGAGAGAGATTGATTGGCTTTGAAAATTGCCCAGTTGTTGAGGGAATGAAACCCTCAGAGGCATTGATAGAAAATGATGCTCCTTTTCATGTATTGGGATATTCATCTCCACAGACTAGGACACCTCTCTGGAAAACAATGGAGTTTATTCCACCACCTGCAATGCCTATCAATATGAGCCATGGAGGTGAAGGTCAGAGTTCAGTAGAGACATATATACTTCCAGATGACATGAATGAGAGGAGAATAGTTTTACCTACCAACCCAGAATTTGATTTAGTGGATCTTTCAGACTCTCTTTTAAACTTTGGGAATGAAGAGGAGCTTCATTTCATTGATGCAGACGAGAAAAACTCAATTGACAAGTCTTGCCATGATAACTTTAATCCAATAGTATTGAGTTCTCCTCATGACATCCATAGAGATGATGTACCTGATGTTAAAGAACCTCATACATGCCTTGCGATGCCTGATGGTTCAAATCTTGCAGAACTGGGGGTTATTGCTGAACAATCAAGTATGAGTCATGGCAATCAACATAATATTTTTTGTTCAGAAGTTAATGTACCATCATCTATGTCAATACCCAATCCTCCATCTCATGACCTGCTGGATGGGGAGATATTCTGCACATTGAACAGTGAGGACACAGAAATTCCTTGCAATGATGATTTTATCCCAAGTAAAGTAGTTGCTTCTTTGGCTTCGCAAACAAGTTATAAAGGGGCAATTGAACTGGCTTCTTCCTTTGATGCTCATAAGGATCGTGAACAAAAGCTAGGAAGAATGAAGAAACACAACAGTTCTACACAATATTTTACTGCTTCCCGCACAAGAGTATCAGACATGTTTCCAGGACCCAAGCACAACCCTCGACTTTGTAGTACAGGAGTCAAATCCAAGTCTACTGATGTTGACAGTCTTAATAGTATCTCCAAACAGGCTAACAATGCTCATGAAGATATTATCCACTACAGATCAGCACTTTCAGCCCAAACATCTCTTACCCGTGCAAGACTGAAGGAAAAGTCGCAACATGCAAGTTCTGCTTCAGATGTATTGTTACATGCAAAATCTAGTTCCAGTAGAAACAAAATTCCTGAACCAGAAGCAAACCCCTCAACCTTAGATCCAGAAGCCAGGCTGGATGAAGAAGAATATGAGAGTGATGATCACATTCCAGACTTTTCCGATATTGAATCAATGGTAAATCTTACAATTATTGGGGGGATTAATATTTTTTCCTCCTTTATTTATTTATTTATTTATTTTTGTCAGTTTTGACATTTTGTAATGTTTTATGTTTCCTCTCAGATACTGGATTTGGATTTGTGTCCAGAAAATCTTGATACATGTTTTAGTACAGAAGGTGACTCATCTAGAGTTCAGTTCTATTATCAATTTATGATATATTATTCTGCTTCTGCCTAACCTTTTTCAATATGCAGTAATATATTGTTATGAACTCCACAGTTTTAACACTCACACACTTGATTATAATATATGGCCTTATTGTGGTTTTTATTTCCAAATGGTCATGTTCTTCAATGCAGAGAATGACAGTGTAATACATGTGACATTGTGGCTGCAAACATAGTAATTTTGAGTTGATTTTCTTTCCTTCAAATTTCCAGTGTCAAGGTATCAACATGACGATACTAAGAGGACAATCATTAGATTGGAGCAATGTGCTCAATCTTGTGTGCAAAGAGCAATTGGATACCAAGGGGCACTTGCCCTCCTGTAAGGACGCCATTTGAAGCAGTATATTAAGGAAACTGAGGTAAATTCTTCTAATTTTCACCTTTTCTTGCTCAATTGTATAATTCAAGGATGGTCTAACTTAGGAATAAAACATTTGTTTTAGATATAGTTATATCTTGTTCTTTATATCTCTTTGTAGTTTAATCATTTGGCAATAAATGATTCTTGAGATTGCAAGTGGAAATTCATTAGTTAGGAGGTTAGTGACATGATGATCTAGATTGAACATTTAATTGATTTGATTATGATGTGTTTTTGAATATGCCTCAACAGTTCCAGCAGTGACTGTACTAGAACCACAAGAAGATAGGAACTTCAATACTAGTCTTGCAAGGAGCAAGATGGAAGCAGTCTAGGTTATATTTACTGAATGATCTGCCTATACAATTTCATGTTTTTACTTCCTACTGACTAGAGTAAAGTTTAAGCCTGTTTACTCTTTTCTATTTGTTATTTTGCATTTTAAAATTGAATTCTGCTTAGTTTGCCAATCGATTAACATTTTTAGTAATGTAGGAGTCTTTAAATTCAAGTTGTAAATAAAAAAAGTTGACTAGTCAAAATTTAACACCATGACATTGGCAACATTGGCATGTTATCTGTTACATACACTTCTGTATTTTTCTATTCCTGCATTTAATAGCAATATTAAAGCAAAATTTTCCTTCTTAAAGTGCAACCTCTTTTCAACTCTGTAGGTCATACTTGGCAGGGCAACAGATGATGTTGATGTAGATATTGACTTGGGAAGAGAAGGACGTGCCAACAAAATATCTAGACGACAGGTTGTAGTTCTTTTAATTTGATTATATGCCAAATTTCAATTTTTATTGGTTGCAAAGACTTGAGCGATATTGTTGATTGGTACTTAGAGAAGCATAGCAATTTTTAATTAATTTAATGGACATGATGCACATGGATATGGTTCTATTTGTAAGAGACCACTATATTATCTGATCAACATATTTCAATAGATTTTGGGGACAAAATGCTGCTTAGATGGTTACTAAATACTTGCTTTAGCTTCTTGGATATCCTATGTTCACTCTATACTGTTGAATCGGTTTCTGCTAGGCACTGATAAAGATGGAAGAAGATGGCTCCTTCATTTTGAGAAATCTTGGTCGGAGTTCTATATTTTTGAATGGCAAAGAAATTACTACTGGCCAGGGTTTCGGTCTAAGTCCAAGTACTTTGATTCAGGTATGTTGATTCCATCTTCATAGATTGTGTCATTATGCTGCCCATGTATCTCACAGATTATATATATGCTGTTTATTCCAGTTTATGATTACTATAAGTGTACATCTTTTAATGCCTTGACAATGCAATATATAAATGGCAAAGGGTGTATTTGCAGATCACAGAATTGTCATTCATGTTTGAAATAAATCAAGAAAATGTAAGGCGATATCTGGCTGCCGTCACGAGAAGAAACCAAGAAAAGAATGCCAATTTTGAATGGTCTAAAGATAGGGTTCCATGATTTGTGAAAGGCAGAATTAGTGGGTTGCATTTCTTAGTAGTAGTTTCTCTAAAATACTAATTGGACTCTTGGTAGAATTAACAGATATGGTAGGGACATGGCATCTGTGTGTAGGTCAATTGGTGTATAGAATTGTAGAAGGCACTTGATGCTATAATATTAAAGAAGGAATGTAAAGATGTTTGTATCTATTGTGCAGGTTTATGGCTCCCCTTAAAAAATATAGAAAAGAATAGTGAGGGAGATAATATATAGCTTATAGCTTATTATGAATCGTTTTTTCTTTTATATTTATTTTTTTATAATATATATCCACTATTTTAATTTACTAATTCAGATGTTTGTAATTGTGGCCTACCCATGAGAAAGAGGTTTAATTTTAATCTTGTTCTTGCTAGGATATTCAGTTTTGTTGCCGCTTGGGCATAAACAAATTTAGAAACTTTAATGTGTCAGATTTTTGTAGAGCTGGCTCGTCAGATACCTAACGTTTCAAACTGTTTCTGCTGTTAATAGCCGTTGCTACTGGATCTCAATTATACTATACTACTTCTAGAAGGTGGTCAAGTCTTACACAACAATAATGCTAGTTTGTTGCGACCATCACTCAATCTCACAATCATCTCTCACAACCCTCGATTAAGCTTGCAATTGGTCAAGTAGGACTCATAACAAGCAGACAAGACCCATTTTGCTAATTGACCAATTGCAAATTGTTATCGAGAGTTATGAAAGAGAATTGTGAGATTGAGTTGTGGACCTAACATTACTCTTTACAATTATACTACCTTACTAGTTCAATTCTCATTTTCTTTGCTCCACTTGTCCAATTAGTGGGTAATGTATTTGTGTATGGCCACATCATATAAGTGGTGTATATCAAGTGCATTCTAAACTCTTAAGTTTAAAGGATGAAAAGGAGGAAATTTGTTAAAGTATGGATTTGATACTAATTCACCCAACCTCTGCATCTAGTTCCTATAAAAAATGTTTCCATTTCTACGCCTTTACAGTTGCCTTTTGTTGTAAGAAAGATGAATAATTTATAGTAATTTAATGTTAATGCATATAGAATATTGTTGTTAAACTTTCTTATGTTTTTAGATTAATAGAATAATGGCTCTAACCATTAAACAACCCAACAAACCACCAGGGGACCCAAAACAAAGAAAAACTGAGCCCAAAAATGAACAACTTAATCGATTTTTTTTGGGTGTACCTAATTATGAGAATCTACATGCTGGAAATGATGAGACTTTCGAAAGTTTTGTTAGCAATTAGCAATAATATATGTAAAAAAATATAATACAACCACCAACTTTTACATAAGAACCAGATGCCATTATTCATCAACTTTGAAGATGTTGTAACGACTGTATCTGTAGAAGGTGTAATATATGCTGGCATTTGATTCTAATGGCCACCTTCATTTCCCTTTGCCGCCTCATGAAACTTTTAATTGGGTCTGCTGTTAATTACTATTTCAGGATTTGCATATCAAAATTAAAGGCCAAAACTTTCATATACAGTTTGCTCCATCCATTGGGACAAGTGTTTTGAAGTTTTTATCACATATTTCCCTACGCTCTGCGACATCGTACATAGACCCCAACTAATTCCCATGTGAAATTAATGTAAAGCTACAATTTTTTGACCAATAAGACGACTGATATTATTGCTCTACTTTTTAATAAGCTAGATATTGTTTCAGTAAATACTCAACACTTCTCTTTTTCTTCATTGATGGATCTCAAATAGCCTGCTATATATGATGATTGAAATGTTGAGCCCTAGAGTCGATATTCCAATTTCAAAGTAATAAAATAAAGCTCTTGTTTCCCAAGTGCTTGGAGCGATTAATTAGCTCCATTTTCACTCTGTTTTATGGGTCTATGGTGGATGATAAACAACGATGACACCTCAACAGAAAGCAATTGACCTGACACCTGAGCCAATACAACAGACGTACTAGCTCAATAATTCAAGGTGTCGCTAATATATGCAACTTCATCTCTCTCTCTCTCACTCTTGAAGCATATACGTACGTTCAAATTTAAATTCGGAGCATTATATAAGGTTCTGACACTTGCCCGTGAAACCACTCACAAAAAGATCTCTGACCCAAACTGAGTTGAAGTGGCAACACAACCCATTTCTCTTTGTCTTCCCCACTTGTACTAGATCCTCTCACCCCCATAAACGGATGGTCCTGATTCTCTCTTTTTCTGCAACTAGTTTCCTTATCTCAAACACTCTCACAGTCACTGACAAAATTCCATTCAATTTTATTTTCCGTGTGGAAATAATCTAATGGCTTCTCTAAGTTTCTCTGTGTCTTCTCTACTTCTGTTAATAGCCTCAGTTGCATGGCCGTTGGTCATTGTTGAGTCAAAGACCTACTGGGCAGACGTTGAGGTTCTGAAAGAGCTAAAGAACTCGCTCGACCCCAAATCAGTGACTCCTGGTTCATGCTTGAGCTCGTGGGACTTCTCTGTTGATCCATGCGACAACCTTTTCAGTGAGAAATTCACTTGTGGGTTCAGGTGCGACCTTGTAGTTTCCAAGTTGAGCCGGGTCACTGAGCTCAGTCTTGACCAAGCGGGTTACTCTGGTTCATTGTCTTCGGTTTCTTGGAACCTTCCTTGTTTAGAAACACTCGACCTCTCAAACAACTATTTCTCAGGGTTTATTCCTGACTCGTTATCCAATCTGACTCGGCTGATTCGACTCGGCCTGTCAAGAAACGTGTTTTCTGGTGCAATACCCGCCTCGATTGGGTCACTCTCTAGCTTAGAAGAGCTTTACCTTGATAACAACAACATTGAAGGCAGAATTCCTGCGAGTTTCAATGGTTTGTCTAGCTTGAAAAGGCTCGAAATACAATCAAACAAGTTCACCGGTGAGTTTCCTGAGCTGGGTTCTCTCAAAAACCTTTATTTTTTAGACGCGAGCGACAATGCAATATCTGGACAAGTACCAGCAACACTACCAAGTTCTCTGGTTCAAATCTCAATGAGAAACAACAAGTTAGAAGGAACAATACCAGAAAGTTTCAAATATTTGACTTCTTTGCAGGTGATGGATCTAAGTAACAACAAACTCAGTGGCTCAGTGCCTTTATTTATTTTTAACCATCCTTCTCTTCAACAACTCACTCTCTCATTTAACCATTTCACCTCCCTACAATCACCCAGTATCTTAACCACCGTTCAAAGCCAGCTCATAGCCGTCGACTTAAGCAACAACGAGCTTCAAGGTTTACTTCCTTTGTTCTTGGGTTTAATGCCAACTCTTTCTGCATTATCTCTAGAAAACAACCAGTTCACCGGTATGATACCAAGCCAGTACGCGATAAAGGTAGTTATACCCGGATCTGGAGTGGCTCCATTTGAGAGGCTATTGCTTGGAGGAAACTACTTGTTTGGACCCATACCCGGTCTGTTAATGGGGCTCCAACCGGGTTCTGCTAATATCAGGTTGGCCGATAATTGCTTGTACCGGTGTTCATTTTCTTTCTTCT